TACCAGTCCCATTGCTAGCAATAGCTCCACGCGGTTTCTCCTGGAAACCATCGTGCTGAGTGCCAGGTGTATTCATCGCGATGGGCTGACTGACCTGCTTTTTTCATTATTCACCTATCATCCCTCACTGGTGCCCCACCAGCGTATACCGTTAGCGCATACGGGGATATCACTCCATTCATCATCCATTAAAAAAAAAACCCCGCCCGCGCCATTCGTGTACACTGGCTAACTGTATGGTAACTCCGCCTGCGCTAACGGGATACGCTGAAACTGGCTAACTGTAATGGTTGGAGTGGAGTAAGGATGAGAGTAGGTCAGTTAGCCCATTGTAACGGATTTATCAAAAATTAACCACGATGGTTTCCAAAGGGGCATGGAGGACGACATATGACGTATAATATAAGTAATGGGGCCGCTAGTCCCCGTTACTAGAGGGATACTTTGTACAAAAGTCGATTGCTTGGGTACCTCTGTCCCATTCGTGTTTCAACCGTGAAGTAGTTGTGTTTGCACAGCTGTGTTTCGGTTTGAAGGGTGGGATATAGCGTGAATTTACTGGGTACAGAGGAATAACACCTGAGTCCTCAGGAATAGCAACGCATGGGAGGTATCATGGGCGAAACAGTATACTCTGTTATATCCATGGTACTGCTCATGTCTATAGGCGACGGTTACCACTTTCCATCAGGTGGGCCGTCAACTTGTTTGCCATTCTAAGTTGAATAAAAAAAAGTACTGAATGACGTTTTCGAGAATTGGTTTTAAGTAATAGTAAATTTATATGAGTACATTTGAGTTTGACTCGGTAATAAATACTTATATAAGATTTTGATATATGTACACAATGGTTAGATAATATAAAAATAAGTGCTATATAAATTTCTAAATTAAATAATATCACTATTTGAGTATGATAAAGTATAATTAGTTACATTTTATCTTCAATTTGCTAAACGTAAAGAATCAAAATGTTCATTGCAACAATAAATGAATTATGAAAGAATAATACGTTATAAAAGTATTTCTATGAATATCAGTTGAAATCCTCCTAATATTCTGTATATAAAAGTTTGGAAACATATTTCGACTTATTTAAACTTTATTAGTTGTATGGATTTTGTAAATAAATGGAATCAATTTTCATCTAGAATAAAAATTTTTGGACTAAAGTCGCGGATTACAATTACAGTTCATAGTCAATATGAAACAGTATATTCCACTTAGGGCGAGAGTTATTGTTAGCAAAGGAGACGTTAATCTCTATTGCTAACAATATATTCAATCAGGTCGACCTCCACGCGGTCCTCCAAGAAATGATCGTGATTAATTCTCGTTGAATTCGTCAAAATAGGCTAACTGACTTAGTTTCAACCTCACATATCCACTCACTAGTACCCTGTGAGCGTATACCGATAGCGCAGGCGGAATTACCATTCCATAATCATCCATTAAAAAAAAGTATGTTTAATAAGTTTTTTTTTACTAATATACTAATATATAAAGCGAGTGTTAGTTTGTTTAAAACCGCTAATCTCTGGGACTATGAGTCGGATTTGAAAAACTCTTTTTGCATTTGACAGCTCATTTTCACATCACAATACAATCATGGGAGAAACTGCGGACTAAAATTAGTAAACTTATAAACTGGTATTCAAAAACATTATTATATATGTAGGTATATAAAGATATCAAAATAATAATATCTACTATCATGGTAATTGACATATCTATTACCAACAGTATCAGTTAATCATAACTGAGTTAAAATTTGTTGATTAATATTATAACACAAATATAATATTTCCATATCATCAACCTACATTACACAGTGTACCTTGATTTTTACACATTTATGTCATGGTGTTCTTAAATTTATAATTAGATTAGACGAGTATAAAGATAAACGCCGTTTATATACCAATTATGTTATTTTGGAATGCGACTAGAAGGGGATGAAAAAAATACAAAAGTCTCCTAAACAATGAAATCTCATTGTAGAAGTTAGAAATTACGTTCACGGTAATTATTTAAAACTTTAAAAACAAATTATTTAAAATAAAAAAATGAAAAGTTTTCTTTTTGAGTTGAAAATTTTTGCATTGAATTGAATCCATTTCAAAATCAACATTAATTATGACAAATACACATTGAGGAAGGACACCAAAAAGCGGAATAACCGAATAAATAAATACAAGAATAAAAGGGATAAATGGAAAAATATTCAAAGTCCCTTAGGAAATATACTCAGAAGGATACAGGAAATTTTTAATATTATAAATTCTTGGAAAATACCATATATTATAAAACTGGAAATAAGTATTTAAGACTCACTGAATTATTATCACATGACGCAAACTTACAATTGTACCGTACTTATTTGTATCGGTTTATAGCTAATATATGTCATTTAAATAGTTGCAACTGTGCAAACAAGTTACATGAATAATAATAATGTTATATTCATGTAATGTTATATCAATATTAAATCTGCGTTTATTCACCATATAAAATAACGAGAACTTAATTGTGGTATTTATTGATGTACAATTTTACAAGTAGGCACTAATTATTTTTTAGATAATTCCTTATACTTGTTCTGATAGATAATAATAGCTTTGAGAGTGTCTGAATTATCTCTCTTCGGCAGAAACAAACAATTTTCCATGTTTCTGAATAATTTATCAAAAAGTCTACTGATAGGACATCGTTTCGTTAATTTCGGAATATTATTCTTATTTACATATCACAGAATTTATAATATAAGCAAAAAAAGAAAAGAATGTTTTTCATATTTCTTTGATTAACATTTTAATTTCCTATCATCATTCTGTCAAATTGAATCTTCGGTATATGAACCGTCTTAAATAGTACCTATCAATCTCTATCATTGTACATGATTTTATTTAATTGTTAATTTACTTCACCTACATATTTTTAATTATATAACTATTTTGCCATATCTTTGCAGAATCTGGACTGGTTTTGATATATTTTTTTGCAATCAGTAGAGTTTATTATATATATTTTTTACGAAACAAAATTTTAAACATCCTATCCTCTTTATTTAATTAAAAATATGGAGGACGATAACGGAACATTAGATTAGTATATACTGTTACTGAGTTAAAATTCAAAATTTTGTGTTTTATGTAAATATAATAGATAACCTTATATCATTTTCGACCATTTTGGGGCCTGCGAATTCTATTAAATTTATAGTTCCAGTTATAGTCGTAGCTATAGAAAATAATCTTTGATAAATATTAATTAAACGTCTGTGATAATAATTATTAATTAGTAGATAAATATAATTATATCTATTGAGATTTCGAAAAGAGCTGACATTGAAATGAAATTGAATGAGTATCTATATTACTTTTCTACATAATTTGTTAATAATAAAAAAAAACCCAATTTTTTGTAGTGTACCTTGTACCTGTAGTAAGTATATCTATTAATAAGTGCTACATTTTCTGTAACTTATGTTAATTTATGTTATACGTACCTATTGCAATTTAAAATAATCTATTATTGAGTTTTTGTCGCGAAAAATAGCTACAAGGTCTATAAATAAAGGAAACTAGTCATTTAAAATAAAATAAACTTTTGTTTGTTGATATATATTCGTAACAAGCATAATTACGAAAAAAATGCTGAACATAATTCAAAGAAAATTACTATGTTTTTGCAAATAAAGTTTATTTAGATTACATAGGGATAGTGAGTAAATTATTTATTTAATAAACCCAATAGGTAAGTACTTAATTTAAATATATATTTAAATTTATCACTTATACAGGTTTAATTTAGTTATAAAACTGTAAAAAATAACTATACCAAATTGGTTCTATTAAAAAAATATATTCAAAATATATTTAATTTTAATTTTAAAAATTTAAATATATTTAAGTTATATTAAAAAAATGTGCTATCACAATATTCTTAATATAAATTTATTATACCTAATAACAAAGCATTTCACTACGTCGGATCTCTACTTACTAATAGGTATATAATAGTGTAATGTACTCGTAAGTCACATTTTAAGAGAATAAGAAGTGGTAGGTTGGGGACGTACTGATCTGTTACCCTGTCAAATGGATTGCTCAATGCTGGTTACATATAGGTAAGAGGCGGCCAAATCGTTACAAGTTGTTTACTGGGCAAAATTATTATTTTTGTTTAAATTTTAAATAAAAAAATGTTTACATTTTTTTTTTCTTAAATTTCATCCAAACATATAAATCTCATAAAACCGGTTTTTAGCCGGTTTTTCTTTTCAGAAACCGGTTTTGGGAACAAAACCAATATTTTTTTTCGTTCTCGATTTCGGTTAACCAAAAATTTTTTTTCCCGGTTTGATGCCCTGTGTATAATAATAAACATTAAAAATTAAAGTAGTTTTTTTTAATGTTATCCTATACAGTATATGTCATATTCTTCTGATGTAATTTGTCGAAGACTAAATTTATAGGTATATGTCATATTCAAAATTAAACCCTTCTGATCTGTCTCTGTATCCTGTACTGCTATATTCTTTCAAACTGAAACAGCAATGCAAATACAGCAGCTTGCTAAAAGAAACACGAACATTCTTCTGTTGTATTCGTGTTTACACCCTTGTGTGTACCAATACAAACAAGTGTTATGTAGTATTCGTCTATATTAATGCTAATTATCAAATAAATTGATTTTTAAATTTAAATCACCAAAATTGGTTCACACAGGTGTTTATATGCATCAAGTAACCGCAACCGAGAAATTCGAACATATCTATTGAAATGAGCATAATGTCATGAAAATAAGCTCATGTCCATCACTAACAACACAAACAACAAATTACCTACACTTTGAACACAGCTGACAAAAAATATTCGAATAATCGCGGCACTTAATATTGCACGATAAAAAAGTAATAAGTATTTTTTTTCGGCTAGTTGTCACGAGTATTTTTTATTTGTTTCACAGTATAGGAATCACATATAGTAAAGACATACCGACGCCGGCGATTATGTATTGCCGCCACAATTGTCCTCCCTCCATCCTATGCGTTTGTTGGTTGACTGACACATCAGTAGTCACTGGTTCGTAAGTGTAGTTCATATCAGCCATACTACGTCACGCAACGTCAGCTGATGATTAAAATGTTGATTTTAACGTTTTAGGACGTAGGGTAGCTTGGACGCTCTTCCGGGGTTTCGTCGGCTAATCTGCAATAAATTGTATTATCTTGAAGAAAACAGGAAAAACGCTTAGTAGTCAGGTTGAAATTGGTTCGAAATAAGATATAAAAGTTACGGGGGTCAAGATATACTATTTTTTGGACAAACTTTTTCATCAACGAAACTCTGTGCGAAAAATTGTGTTTCTGTAAAAAAAATATAGCCTCCTGAAAATCGCTATTGATCAACGTTTGATTTCAATACAGTAATAGTCTACAGTAGTAGACTTCCCTGTCAGTTTCCCTTTTATTCTACGTTTCTATAAGAGAGATTGAATAAGAGAGATAATATGCCATAACTTTGTTACTTAAAAATTTATATAGCATCAGTTTATTTTCAGATGTATGTTATATACTTATTTCTTATTCTTATGTTCTAATCTATTTTTTTTTTTAATATTGATAGATTAGTACGTGCACAAACCTTTTCGTTTTTAATCTATAATTAGGTTTTTAAAATCTGGATTGAAAACAATAACGAAAACTGTATAGAATATGATATAACATGAGGATTTTTTATGCAATTTAAGATGGGAAACGGGCTAATAGCCATTCTGATGGAAAATCGTACTCTTATAAATATGAATATCACAGAGTATACTGTCTCTTCTGTAGTATCCCTCATTCATGGCCACTCCTGAGGACTATGATGCTTTTTAAAAGTAACCCTTTGGTAAAAATTCCAATATATTAGACTTTTTTTCTGGTGTTTTGACGTCCGTTCAAGTTGAAATTCTACTATGAAAATAGGTGTAACAATCTAATAGAGAAAGAGTTTGTACAATAATTCGCCTGAGAACTTCTTGTTTTATACATGCTTTCGTTTTAGTCTAAGAGCTGTGTTTGCATGGCTGAGTTTTAGTTAGTTGGATAAAATGCATTTAAATCGCTGGGTACGGAAACATAAGGCTATTCCTTAGGAATAAATGTATGAGTGTCACTGTATATTCTATGACATGTATGGTTTCTGTTCATATCAATAGGTGAACGTTATTTTTTTACATTAGATATATCATCAGCTTGTGTATTATTCTAAGTCGTATAAAAACCCGAAAGAATTAGAAATGCGCCTAAAGAAACGCTTTGACAATCACTCAGCCCATGTTAGAACCTCATAATCGATAGAGAATTTAGTATGAAGATAGATGTCCAAATAATAGTTACATCACAGTATAAAGAATTACTTTCCGTGCTTATATTATAGACACATTTAAATAAATTGTAATTAGTTATGGAGATAAATTGTCGTGACCTACACATAGACGTACACTGAAGTCTATCTACACATCTGTTTATCTTTTAATATAGGAATGTTTTAAACAAGATAACAAGTTAGTATTTGATCGTGTCATACATTAAATAATTGTTATCTTAATTTTGAACGAATTAATTAATTATTATCTATTATCCTCGACATCTTAGCTATTCAGTAAATTTTATAATTTTTGTAATCATTTGATCAGAAAGTAAGATACTTAGATATGTATATAGGTATGTATGTATTATACATGTATGTATAGGTAAGCACGAAGTGAGAGCATGACAAATGTAAGTGATCGACATCAAATAAATTATCCGATAATTGGTAATCTAAATAAATTTTCCCAATGCCATTATGACAAAACTATTAAAAGGAAGTTGTTATCTTTTTTATATTTAGATGAACAATTGATGTTAAACAAGCGTTTATAGCGTACCTACGACCTATTGTATTTAGATGGTTCTACACATTCATAGTCAATTTTATGTGAAGTCATGCAACTTTTTAAATATAATAAATTGATACAAGTATTTTTATAAGCAATTAATATATAAATAATTACATAGTTTTTAATTACAATCCTTATCACACTTACTTTTATCATTTTTTTCTAATTAGAGCCATACGTAAATAAAGTACAATAAGTGTTTCATTGTAGTAATTATACATCAAGGAATTATTGCTTAATATTATAGGAAATATTTAAATCATTTTAATAATTTAAAAATTGAAATTAAATGTAAGAAAGTCGACGTTGATACGTTAATTTATGACAAATAGATTGTAACTATCCTATATCTAAGTCTGAGTGAGTTTATTATAATGATCCTCCCATACTAATTTGTTATTTATTTATTTCTTTTATTCTACTATAATTAATATAATAATAATTTCTATTTAAAAGTATCATTCTTGAAAATTTTAGTTCTACATTTATTCATCTCTAAATTTATTATTAAATAATTAAATGTACTTAAGAGAAATAATTTTCAGATGTACTCATTGACAAAGAGTTTGCATGAAAATAATATTATGTAGTATGAAGCAAAATTATAATACAATTAACAAAGACCAGATAACAATAGTCAATATATCTACCTAATAATAATAATAACACGACAAAAACAATAGTCAATCATTCAATAAAATTATTATTCATTAGACAATAAAAAAGGATAGATGAGGTTTTTGTTATGGGCATAGGTATCAGTGAATATAGAACTAACTAGTATTATTACATATCAGCTTTGATCGAGGGTAGAGACCTTCAATCAAGTATAATACTATCAGTTTTCCTTTGGTCTTGTATACTTAGATAACTTTTTTTTTTATACAATTTAGAATAACAAACAAGATGACAGCCCATCTGATGGAAAATGGTAACCGTCGCCTATAGACATGAGCAGTACCATGGACATAACAGAGTATATTGTTTCGCCCACGATACCCCCCATGCATTGCCATTCCTGAGGACTCAGGGGTTATTGCTCTGTACCCTGTAAATTCACGCCATATCCTACCCTTCAAACCGAAACACAGCTATGCAAACACAGATGCTTCATGGTTGAAACACGAATGGGACAGAGGTACCCAAGCAATCGACTTTTGTACAAAGTCTCCCTCTGGTGACTATTATCCTTCATTCGCTTTCAGGTTTCGGCGACTTTTCTCCCTTAAGGCGCATGCTCTACATGAAGATTATTTTTGAGACTAATATAAATTTAATTTTATATATTAAAGTTCGATACTCAAAATATAACTTGTGTTTGAAACTAATTTAAATATAATTTATTTTATAACTAATTGTTCGTTAAAAAATTATGCTGTCAATTTATATTTTTTTATAGTATTAACTTATTTATTTTGAATATTACTATCAGTTGTCTAGTACCCATAGTATAAACTCTGCTTAGTTCAGAACTAGATGGGGTTGTATGTTCAAGGGTATTTATTTATTTTATTTATTAGGTATTTAAGTGGAGGTGTCAACCGAGGTGTTTTTTTACTGGAAGTGGTTTCGTTAATCATTTAAAAACATAATTTATCCCAACACTATGACAAAGCAAAGAGACAGCACTCTATGAGATTTTAGTGGATAAGAAACATTTTTTATTTCTTTCAATATAGGTGCGAATCTAAAAATATCTGCGTCCTTGCTCATTTGCATACTATGGAAAACTAAACTAATAAGTATATATAGTATAAAGACGAAAGATTTGATTTTTTTTATAATGAATAAACCCTGAAAATACTTTAATTTTCTTTTATCTATAGAAAGATTACATTATTAGCTAGTAATAGGAGGAGCAATATTTTCAAAAGAACCATACAAAGCCAGAGCGGATTATTAATTAGTTATATTAATCCAGGATAGGAAATAAAGATTTCAAGCTGTCAATAACCGGACAAGGAACAAGGAAACGGGAATCCGGAAAAATCATTAGTCATATTTCTCCACATTTTCCTGTGCGCCAGCGTCTACCCTTGATCATGGATATGTGAGTAAAATTAATATCAATGAATATTATTAACAGTGTTTAATATGCTATTTAAGATTAAGCACATCCTTCCAGACGTGTGATATGTGTAATGCAATATAATGATTGTCACTAGATACTTGTTTCGACGCTCGCGCTGATCCATCAAGTTGTGTTGCATGGACATCTACGATGTGAATTAAAAATCGCTTAAACTCAATGTAAACGATTTTAAATTCAAAATTAATTAATACTCAAAATATAAAATCACTACCTTTACCCGCAACATCGTCCTCGTTATTGAAATTTGATTACTGACCGGAATAAAAACTAGGTACACCTAGGCTTCTTTACTTCCTATCTTCTATACTTTTCCATTCTATTGGTTAAACTATTAAGGCATTAAAATATAACAAACAAACAAAAACTCTTTTTCAACTTTATAATATTAAAATAGATTTATGATGATATATACGAGTATATTATTAAAGTTTTGTATAAGTTATTTACATATATAGGCATCATATGTAGGCAGACATTTTAGTTCAACATGTAATGACATCTGACCATGTGCAACTTTCCATTTTCACATTTTATCAGATCTTTTGCCACTCTATTATGATCAATTTACCTTAGCGTGCGCCTAATATAAATTTTTATAGCGACTCACGTTTTTCTCTTTAAAAAATTAGCTCTTGCAATGTGATAGTTGTCTGTTGCTTTATAAAATTGCTATAGAAATATTTGTAGGCGTCTCATCATTGTTAGTAATGTATGGATGTCAGGTCTGATATACAATGTTATATCATGGGTACTACCAAGATTACTTTCAGAGAAATGCATTTGCAACTATAGATTATTAACTAATAAAATACAAAATATTACAGTTTTTTTATAACACAGAGGGTAAATGAGCATGCGGCTCACCTGAGGCATTGCAGGTGTGCTGCCGGCCTTTTAAAAAGATATATGCTATTTTCTTGAATGTTATGGGTTAATGTAGTAAACAAATTTAGGCAGAAACCTAGGCACCTTTAGTTTTTATTAAAAGAGTAACTTAATAAAAAAAGTCGTGATCTTTTATACTTTATGTACTTTCTTTCCTGACAAGTACACTTCTTTGCCTTCGCCTGCCGATAACCACAAATACAATTTTTAGATATATGCACAACTGCAACTTCTGAATGTTTAATGCATGCATAATTTATACGTAACGTGTTCTGGATTCAAGAAATATTTTTTATAACATTACACAATTGTTTTTTATTACAAAAATAGATACAGAGTGTAAGGGACAGGTTGACAAAAATTAAAACAGTAAATTGTTTCCGGAAATTCTTTCCGGAATTTTTTTTTCTGTTTTTCTTTTTTCATTTATAATCGTGTAAAGTCTATGAAAATTATGTACGAAGAAGCGCTACTGAGTACACGTTATATGTATTACGCGTCGTGTAGATCGTAAAGTTTAAAAAATACATTGCGCGGCATTTAAACTAAGAAACGTTAACTATTTTGGTGCATTTCCGATAGGAAAATAATCTAGTTTAGTTTAGTTTGTGAATTTATAAAAAAAATATTTTGAAGTACCTAAATACTTCCAGAAGACCATTAGTAGTTATATGAGTTATTTTAAGCAATGCATTTTGTTAATAAGTATTCCAATTTTTTCAAAACTACAGATTTCACATACATCTAGTGAAGATATTCACAAATTTTGTTGGTAAAATACGAGTGTAACTGGGGCACAGATAATATAATTCTATATTGGGGGCAAGCTTACAGACATAAAAATTAAATTAGACTTATTACACGACGATTACCACTTTCTATCTATATTGTTACTATGTTTGTTATTCCACATGTAAAAAATATGTGTACATAATGAACAAGATAATGTGCCTATCAATTTTTGTATGATGATTACATATTTATTGTTTGATATGACATATTGATTATGTTTCGTAATTTAATAAGGCCTGGTTCATATATATATATATATATATATATATATATATATATATATATATATATATATATATATATATATATATATATATATATATATATATATGTAAGTGTTTATGTGATTATTTTAACAAAATTTGCCTACCTTTCAATACCTACTAGTGTTCATAATTTTAGATTATCGAAGTGAAGCAACGTTGCAATTATCTGTCAATTTTTAAAAAGAATTTAGTAATTTTCAATATTTCTGAGTGAATATTTAAAAAGTTCTGTATTAGCGAACTAAAACGGTATTCATGTAATAACATTCTTATTAAATTGTCACTATAAATGGATTTTAATGGTAAAAATTTATTTAAAAAATCCCTAAGTAAAATATGAAGTAGAGGGAAAATCTATTACCGTTTTAGTTAGCTAGAAAAAGCACTCTTTAAATAATTAATATAGAATTAATAGAATCGTTAAAATTCTCCTAATTTTTTTTTATTTGACAGATAATTGAAATCTTGCCGTATTTCGATAAGCAAAAGTATGAATGTTCTTAAGTTTTATGTATAGAGACTTTGTTCTATCTAATAATTTATTTAATTTTGTTTGTTATATATTTTTTGTTATATGTAAAATATTCAACGTATTTTGGTAAAATTGTTTATAATTACTTGCTCTTAACAGTAACGTGCTATTCTTGGTTTATGTACGTTATTATAAAGATGTAAAAAAAATCAAGATGATTGAATGCTTGTTAGACATTAGATAATATATATTATAAGCCGGATTTTTTAGATATATGGCTTTCTGAAAGAAATCTAAAAAGCAACACTCATTTAAATCTATGTTACCCACAAAAATTTCATTAATTACCCAGTAAATTTTCATTATAAATATGTCATGTGACATGACATGACCCAACAATGATTTAAGATTTTGGTCGACAAAGAAAAACAGTCATTTCAGTGGTAGCAAAACCAGTTATTTTAGTTTAAAAACTAAAGTACTATACCGATTTTGGTAACAATTCTATGAGACCAATCTGAAAGTACATATTTTTAAATAAAGAATTTGCCAAATCAGTTTATAAACGATGGAGTTCTAAAGTAATAAACATAAAAAAATGCAACCGAATTGAGACCTTCTTCCGTTTTTGAAGTCGCTTAAAATTAAAATAGTAGCTGCAGTATAAAAAAATATTGTCCACCTGTATACGTATCACGCAGAAACTAGTAGGTTTATTTAATAAAATATTCGTAGTAATAACTTTTTAAGGTCAATATTTAGCTGTTTTATCTTAGGAAAGCGAAGACTTTATTAACATTGCGTGGACAAGGCTTAAATATTTATTTAGATAATTAGCTAATAAACAGTTATTAAATTCCAATAAATGAACAAAAAAGATCAGCTATTTTTATTAATCCAATAACATCTTGACAGAGTGTTTTAATATAAATGCTTCGGCAAAATGGTAGATAGGTATAAAAATACATTAACCTTCTAATTGGTGATAAATATCACACAAATAATATGACGGCCATTTTATTAGATATTATAATTTCAGACAAGAGATTAAACATTTAAACACTCAGTATAAAAAACCGACGCGCGAGAGAAGTTTCTGATCGTTTTTTACCCTCGATAGGTACTATATCTAAGATTTATATTATCTGTTTTCAAATAACAATTTATTTTTATTTATATAATGTACGTATTAAATACATTATGCAAATTTACAAGTACTTTTTATTATAACAGTAATAGTTTTTTGCGAAATATTATTAAAAATAAAAACTTACATTTCCAATTTTATTCACTACTAAGCAACGGTTACACACTAAATGATATGATATCAGTTTGTGAGGAACATATTACACGTTGCTTTTGTCATATTTGATAAATTATAAATGATGATTAATTCATTATTATTGTAAGCAATAACACTTCGTAATCCGAGCATTATCCGCTGCTAAAACATTTTTTAATGGATGAAATGGGAAGGTAATCCCACTTGTGCTAGTGGCTTATGCAGGTCAGTTGGACCATCGTGATTTATTTACGAGGAGTGATAAGTATTATGGCACTACTTAAGTACTTGGCCTGGTTATTAGCAATGCGGCCCATTAATAATAATATTTCGCCAAAATGAGAGTTAAAACCAATTTTTTCCTGCATTACCGGTATCCGCTAAAGGGGTAGCAGTGAGGAATAATAGGATAGGATGCAAACAGGTCAGTTGGCCCATTGCGACACATTCATCAAGAAGTAACTTATAACGATAGTTTGTAAAAGGAACAGCATGGAAGTCGATCTGATAGGCTATATTATACCTACTACAGCTATATTGAATGTTAACAAAGGGGTAACGGGTAACAGCTTGGTTTCATAAGAGTGTATTGCTAGCAATGAGCCCTTTGTCAACAGGAATTAGCAAATATTACCTTCTCTCACAAAAATAATAAGAATTTATCCTTTGTGACCATGCAGTAATTTGCTGCAATGAAGGACTTTAAAGAAATGCAATTACCTGCTACTAGGAGATAGGTTTGCATGTTTGTATTTCTGTTTGAGGTGTTTTTTTTACGGATGATAATGGAATGGTAACCCCGCCTGCGCTATCGGAATACATCGGCGGGGCACCAGTGAAGGATGATAGGTGAGGATGAAGTAGGTCAGTTAGCCCATCGTGACGAATTTAACGAGAATTGTTCACGATGGTTTCTAGGGGGAACCACGTGGAGGTCGACCTAATACGGCATATTGCTAGCAATGGGGCTGTCAAACTCCATTGCTAACAATCCCTTTCCCCCCTGTTCGAGGTGTTAGGATATAGCAGTAAAATTACTGAATAGGTATGAAAAGGCTTGAAACCTTGAAAATAGCGATTCTTTTGGATGTATCTTTTGCAATAGGTACTCTCAAAATGGTCAGGTATATTCTACTGCATGCTTCAAATCTATTTCATTATTTTTTCATTTCCAGAGAGAGCCTTCGTACAAATGTCGTTTGCTTGGGCACCTGTGTTCTATTGTCTCTACCGTGAAGCAGTTGTGTTTGCATGGCTGTGTTTCGGCACAGATTAAGTTTCTGTTTGAAGGGTGGGATATGGCAGTGAATTTACAGAGTACAGAGGAATTTAGGAATAACACCTAGGTCCTCAGGAATGGCAACACATGGGGGTATCATGGGCGAAACAGTATACTCTGTTACGTCAATGGTACTGCTCATGTCTACAGGCGTCGGTTACCACCAGGTGGGTCGTCAGCTAACAAGCTGACGACCCATTTGACACACATTTGACGACACATTGACACATTGCCATTCTAACTTGCACAAAAAAAAATTCATCGTTTCTTTCTTGCTTGAAAAAATGCAATATATGGCCTTTCATATTTTTACATGACGCTTGAATGGATAAGAAATTAAATACAAATAATTAAGTATCTCACCGTATTGTAGGCTCCGTAACTCAATATTACAGGGCCGCGAGTAATCACTGACTTACTAGTAAATTCCCACCTGTTCATAATGTTGGAAATATTAATGCGTGAATAATTAATTAAAACAGGGTTCAGTAGTTGTTAGTGTGCGTACATATAATATATGTTATACACAGCTGCTGTATCGAGTTTGTTGGATGATCAAAAAAAAATACAATTTTTAAAGCTCTTTATGATGATAATTATTTATAATAGAATTTTGTTACGTTTAAATATGTTGCCAAGTTATTGACCAACGAAGTAGTCAAGGAGATAGACGTTGTCGAACGAATAATGTTTCAAGAACCCTAAAAAAGTAATTGATAATTGCTTCATAAATACATGCAGCTGTTTATGTAATAAATATTGTTGCGAGAACAATAATAGTGATTTAATCATGCTTATTATTTTTTTTTATAATAGAAATCTATTTATTTATAAACATTTTATAATACTGATAAAGTACATAAACGGGGAAAATATTTGAAGCAGTTAGAATACAATAGACAGCCTTTATTCTTTCAGACAACTTTTGGAGAAGAAGTAATGAAACGAAAAAAAAAATAAAGGAAGAGACGCTGATAAGAAATAAGGAAAGAAATAAAAAATAGTAATACATAAAAATTTAATTAATTTATTTAAATTTAATTACGTCACGAAGCATATAGGTAGACATGAAAAGATATAAAATACATGCTTGAAATAAAGATGTTTGTTATTTAATCACGCTTAAACGGCTGAACGGATTTGAATGGAATTGGTAGGTTATATCCTAACATATCATGGAATATTTTATATATTATATTAATTTACACGTACAAGTCCGCGAAGAATAGCTATATATATGTATAATATCTTTAATCAATCTTTATAACTGAATTAAATTTATTTAACTACATGTGGTCCATATACAAATATATACCATGTATCAATACTTATATTATGTGGGGGAAAGGGATTGTTAGTAATGGAGACTGAGAATCCCATTGCTAGCAATATACCCAACCAGGTCGACCTCCTCGCGGTTCTCCCTGGAAACTATCATGGTGAATTCCTGATGAATTCATCATGATGGCCTAACTGACCTGTTTTCATTCTCATCTATCACCCTTCACTGGTGCTCCGCCAGCGTACCCCGTTAGCGCAGGCGGGGTTACCATACCATTTTCACCCATAAAAAAAAAATATGATGAATATGTTGAATAGTACCTTATCTCGCAGTAAATTTTATTATTAGGTATTATCTGAAGGGCTTTTCAACAATTTCATTTTCGTACAAAAATATCTTATGTATAAAGAGATTTTGAGAAGATAGATCAATAATCGAGGTATGGAAACAACATTTTCATCTAATCCTACTAAGGAACTAGTATTGTGATTATTTCATTGATATATAGGTACATCCAATCACAACAGGGTTGCTTAACTAGGTCGATCGCCACACGATCACCCCTAGAAACTATCGTGCTTAATTCCTGATGAATATAATATTTTATAATAGTCATGATATAGTTCAATTTCATTATTACATAATTCTTCATTAGTATCTCGCCAGCGTAAATAAAGATTACAAACGGGGCTAATATTCCAAGATTAGGCTCTGAAAAAAATAAAGATGCAAAGTCAGTCGTAATGAAATTAACGTTGACTAGTTATTTTATATCCTATATTTAAGAATACATAAAAAACTGAATTTATAAAGCAGTTATTTGCAACAAAAACTAACAGCTATTCCAATGATAATAGTTGTAAGTGACGTGAATACTAAAGATTCTGTAGTCATTTAGTAATATCGATTAAGGGATTGTTAGGGTGTCCATTTTATGAAAAAATATTCCATTCAATGTGATTTCTGTAGCCGGTTATTTTGTACGACTTGTTACGGCAATGAAGTTACGAACTCATTTGGTGGGAAGTAATAACCTTTATATATATGTAATGCCTAGACATGAAAAGCGCCATGGACATGACCGAATATGTTATTATTCTGTTTTAAATGTATAATATAAAATTTCAATTTTAAAATTGCCCAGTTTAAAACTTTCGTAAAAAATACGAGTAGTAACAAATCGTCAATATTCCGATGAAGTGATTGTGATAATTTTGAACGTGTGCATATCAAATCATGATACAAGTCGATGACAGAGCAGTAACATGATTTGATAAAGTCATTAATTTAAAACGTGATCACTGAAATAAGTTTGTGAATTCCTACCTGAACTACACCGTAACATTGTGGGAATGGCTTTCGTGTATCATATCCCAGTCATCGTCTGCATAACATCGGATCTTTCAAACGTAGCGTGAAAAAGCACTTAGTAAACCGGCAGAGTGCAGACCACCGTTGAGAATAAAACATTTTGGTTGATCGCATTCATGAAGCACATTGTCCCTATCTACTAGCAAAACTCCCCTTCTGGAAAAAGTTTATGTTCAGCAGTAGACAGTTAAGGGTTGATCAAATAAAAGCAAACAAAAAATACGTTGATTATGGATAATGTAAAACTGTGTGCCTTTGGTTCGGTTGTAATAAGGAAAGTTGAAGAATCTCATTTTAAATGTACGTAATAACAATACATAATAATTGGCTTAGAACAGTTCCACACCCAGTCATCTTCTTGATGATAAAAGATGACTGGGTGAATAGTTTTGTAATTAATAATAATAATAAAAGATTTATTACACATAAAAATATACAGTCATGGGCTTACAGAAATTTCAAAGTGAATTATATGTGTATAAAATGTAGCATTAAGCCCAGAGCACATTAGTGTCTAAACTAGGCCTAGCCTGTATCTTAGACACCAATACCTTCAATTAGATACATATTTTTATTTATGATTATATATGACTTGTTGATATAATAACAACTATGCCTATTGATGTAAATTAAGAACAGTGGGAATGTAGAAGTAGTCCCAAATAAAAACTCTAGGATAAAACAAACAGTAAGGATATTTAAGTTCTGTGTTTTCAAGACATAGTTTAAAATTAGAACATTAAATTACACTTATACTCACTAAATTGGGAATAAGTCACCAGAAGGAAACCGTATGAAAGGCATCTGCTTAAGATGCTTACCTCTCTCGTAGTTGTATTTCTACTGCCATGCAACTGTACTTGGGTTATTGTTATGTTTCAGTTTGAAGAAGAAGTTGGTAATTTAATTATACAATGCAAAGACATAATAACTTAGTTATGAGGAATAACATAGGTGGCACAGTGCAGTCTGTGATAGTGGTGCTTTTTATAGGCCACAATTGTCACATTCTATTAAATGGCCGTTAGCATTAAGAACTGACAAATATTTCTATTAAAAGATAACAATTTTAAAAAGGAAAATTACGAATGCTCTCGTGATCCAGTAACCACCGGATAAGATCTAGCGATTAGATATCGCAAGGATCCACTTCTTTGTTACTAATCCAAGGAAATGTTTTGATTGTGTAAATAAAATCTCAGATAGCCCCAGTCAGCAAGGAATGATTACGATCTAAATTACGATAGCCTTGGGAAAATATAACACGATTATAAATCATGATCAATTGTAAGTCTGTATACACATTATCTATGAATACCAAACTGGCCATATAAAATGAATTTGATTTTTTAAATAAAAATGAATTACATTCCAAAGAGAATACTGTCATTATGCAAGCGACTTGTTATTTTTTGTAACAATTATTTGATATAGGTTTTGTATTTCTATCATGTACGGAAAGTACGAGAGCCTTAAATTATTCCGTTGTTACAGAGAATCCAATCTTTGACATGGCGTGCACCACAAAATGCAGTCCAAAATTAAAAATTGAGGAAGAAATTGCAATAACAGAAGCTCACCTACCAGGTTCTAATTTGGAATCCAAATTCGATGAATTAAAATATGAAATAGTTCATAAAATCGACAAGGAATTGATTGATTCAAAGAACGCGAGGAATTATATATCGCAAAAATATGATGAGCTATGCAGCAAGATACAATATTTGACTGAATTGGACGCCACCGTTACAGGTAACTTTTTGTTTGTGATAAGTTTGTAATTTGGACTGAACAGCTGAAAAGATGATGATGATGGAGCACGTGTAGAAATTTAAAACAAGTTTTGTATGTAAATGTAGATAGTGATGCTTTTTAGTAAGAAGGGAGTAGTAGTAATGACTACTAAATAGATAATACTATAATAAAGCAATTTTCGGTCGATATCTAGTCTTACAATATTTTATTTTAGGGAAATTACTACGTTCTTCTCAAGCAGAGGTAGAGAAAAATACACAGAATATAAATTTAACAATTGTGCGTGACTGAATCATAATATCATATTATTTTTAACAATTATCATAGAAAACATATTCATAATAACATTTTGAAACCTATTTTCTTTGCTTTCAGGTTTCAGGAGTGATATGAAAGCAATCGAGAAACAGATTTATGACTTATCCGCCAGAGTAGACGATATAGAAAAAAGAACCATTTGTAAAGAATGCCCATCGCTAACATCTTCAATGTTTTAATAAAAGTAAATAAACGCCTCTGTTGTGTACATAGTATAATAAAATAATCGTCGTCTGGTAACTGGTAGTTTATCTAGTAGTTATCAACTGATTTCACATAAGAGATTTCACGTTCCAAAATGCTGAAATCTACGCAAATGATTATTATTATAGATCAAAACATAGCTTAACCAATTCAATAATTTGGGGGGCAAAGAATGTTAGTAATGCGGACTATCAGTTCCATTGCTCGCAATATATCCTGTTAGGTTGACATCTGCGTGGTCTCCCTCTGGAAACCATCGTACTGAATTCCTGGTCTAACTGACCTGCACTTTCGTCTCACCTATCATCCTTCACAGGTGCCCCGTTAGCGTATACCGTTAGTGCAGACGGGGTTATCATTCCATTATGATCCATTAAAAAAACATCGCGACTAAGAATATATTGTTTATAGATGACGTAAAAACTTTAATATAAAAATTAGGCATACTAAACGGCTTGCCACGATGACACAAAATCTAGGTATTTATTGTTAGCAAACCCCCTTTTCCGTTAAAATGAAGATAAAATATCAGTTTTTTGGTTTTCGAAATTTTTTCGACATATTTGACATTTTAGCCTTAAGTAAAAAAAGTATTATTTGACGAGTATGAAATCCATGTTTTGATTGTGACTCATAATACTAGATAGTGAATTTGATCCGACATCGAAAGAGCCATTTGTGTCACATTGAAGTAGGTACTTTACTTTGAGAGCTGTGACCTACTATTTTATTTTAATGGGTGAATATGAAGGAGTAATCCTGTCTGTGCTATCGGTATATATTGACAAGGCCCTAGTGAGGCATGTAAGATGAGGACGAAGCAGGTCATTTGGCTCATCATGAGGATTTGGCTAATAATTAACCACAGGTCGTATGATCCCGGCATAGGATATGCTACCACTTCCTTTCTCGTTGGTGTCGTAAGAGGCGACTAAGGGATGGTGAGGAATGGGCAGCAATGTCCTTCTTAAAATATCTCCAAAGCTCCTCTATTGGCAAAACTCCCTCAATTGATGATATGTTCAGCAGTGAACGGATAACAGGTGAAACGATGATGATGATGATCCATGTTTGGCTCTACCTGTCGGGGTATAATTCGTTCGTTGTTTTGTGTATCATATTATAGTAATTTATTTATTACTCCAGAAATTGGTCGTATAACTTATTCGTCTCTATCCAACATAGGATTGCAATATTTCTTCTTTGCGAAATCGCCTGACTTTGTTTTTTACTAATAAACTTTATTTTTTTTTATGCAACTTAGAATGACAAACAAGCTGACCTGATAGAAAGTGGTAACCGTTGCCTTTACACATGAGCAGTACCATGGACACAAAAGAGTATACTTTTTCGCTCATGATTCCCCTCATGCGTTGCCATTCCTGAGGATTCGGGTGTTATTCCTCTATATCCAGTAAATTCACTGCCATATCCCACCCTTTAAACCGAAACACAGCCATGCAAACACAACTGCTTTACGGTAAAAACACGAATGGGACAGATGTGTCAATGTGTCAAGCAAACGACTTCTGTACAAAGTCTCCCTTTACTTCTACTATAGATAACTTTTATATGCAATATTATTATTACAAGAACAGTCTAACAACACATGTTGTACTTCATCGACGGTATCATAAATTTGATAATGAGGTGACCAGGACTTTCCCATCATATGTGCAATTTTTTTATGATTAATGGCCAGATCGACGTTGAATTGCTAATTTAATATGTGAAGGAGTGAATGTGCGGAGGTTCAGCCTGAATACTTTTATACCAACTATCTTTTTCTTTTCGAAATTTCTTTAAAATATTCAATATACTGTCCAATCTTTTTGACATTGATTTTTAAATTTAGATATATGCTCTGTAAAATGTGGTAACGACTGATATTCTCAACTTTTCTAGTGGCTAGTTTAGCTAAACGATCTGCTTTTTCATTGCACGTTGGTTTACGTATGCTGAAACCCATTGCAGTATTTATTATTATGAATGAGTTCTAAAATTGTCTAAGCAATAGAAATTTGTTTCATTTCCGACGCACAACGAATTAAATGCTATTTTTTTCGTTGTGCGTCGGAAACGTCGGTTATTAATCCGCTCATACATTCTAATAAAATTACATATTTGTTAATATTTATTACACATTAAATTCTTTTAAAATTGCAATTAATTCCGCTGACATAATAGACATATTAAAATTAATATTAAACCAATCTGATTTTTTTTTACCCAAAGACATTGTTCCATCCATAAATATTTCATATCATCATTATATTTTGCATTTATTTCTTTGACTTTTTCATGTTTTAGCAAATTGGTATCATAGAAAGACTTAGCATTAGTGTTGTATTCTAGCTCTGTTTTGATTATGTTATTAATCTGAATACCTGTAATCCAAGTATCTAGTAAAAACATTTTAAGAGGATGACTAGAGTGAACATAAAGAAAATAAATACAATAATATTCATTTGTAACAATTAGTTACCAACGTGGTCAATACTTAGCATTATCTATGGCAATTTATTAACTGCCACAGAGCTGTTATTCTGTGCAAGCCACAACGACTACGGCAGTGGTAAAAATAATGAAGCGCCTTACCTTAAATACTATTAGTATATTTTACTGTTTCCTTTCCCACTTTATAAATTACAATTAAATCGTTTTCGCTAGCGAATATATGAGATCCAATGCAATGGCGGCATTTAGTGTCTTGCTCTTTCTCATGTAAGTCCTAACTGAAGTGATTCTATCGATAGATTTATTTGTATCTTGCCTAGGAATATTTGTATTTAAAATCATATCAGCCGTTAATTGTCCACTGTTGAACATAGGCCACCCTCTATTGGAAGGTTTTGCCAGTAGTTGCCATATTTGACAACCGCAGTTAGGCCTTGGAGATGTTTTAAGAGGGACGTTGCTACCCATCCCTTGTTCATTAAATTCCCTTAGTCGCTTCTCACGACATCCACGGGAAAGGAAGGAGTGGCCTATGCGACTACGTAGCAGTACATCTAATATAATGTAAAAATTAAAGGTAAACAGAAAATAAAAAATTTATTACTAAATACAAAAATAATTTATTCTAATAATAAATAACATCACATTCATTGTAACAAAAAATATTTGGCACATACATTCGCTCTTACATCTAACATCTAATTAAATTGCATCTATCTGGCTAAGGATTTTATTAACTACCTATCAACTACCTATGTACAAAACTGAAAAGGGAATGTTGCGACAGCAATATGGTTGCATCAGGTGCTGAACTGAGTGAAAGAACCAGTTTGAAGTATAAACCGACTACAAGTATATACTCGTAAAATCAGAAGGAAAGGGCACGAACCTGAATACTCCAAAACATTCCCTAGGTATATAATATACAGACAAAACATTAATAATGATTAGATGATTATCTTTGCCTAATATTATGCACTAATATGGTCGCAATATAAGTGAATTTTCCTGCAATCAAGGTTTTTAAAAAGAATAATTTATTCCACAAATTGACAAAATTTTATCCATTTTGGAGAATTCGGGTTCGTGAACTTCCTTTGTGAGTGTGTCTTCATTAAGTTTAGCATCAGATATTGGTATATATTATACATTTCTGAGATTGTAGCAACTACTAAGCTGGTCTATCATTTAGTCTATCATTCAAGTTATTGAATTGTTTGATAATTGAATTCTACTCTTGATAATACCGCGTGAGAATTGATAACTTTTATTAGGAAAAATGTTTTTCCTAATATATATTTCCACTTATTTATTTAAAAGTTCATCAAAGAACTGAGGTGTTGTAACACGATGTTGCCTAGACGAGTCTCAAAACACAATTACTGTATGTAGTTTGAATTATAGTGAAATAAAAATCCCTAACGATCCAGAGTTTGAACCCAAGATCCTACAGTCTTGAAATAATATCTTGATATCTATCATCTAATACAAGCAGTTGGTTCACTTGATATGAATAACACCATGATTATCACAAAATAATCTGCATAATGGCATAGTGCATGCTACGTTCCCGTTTTTCTCTTTTCTGAGAACTAATTTTGATTTTTGTGTCAGAGATTGCACTGCCTGTTTTACTTTTTGAGTTAAACAACAAAGCACGCATTGCTGTTTCACAACTTGATGTATATGATAGATAAAACGGTGGTACCCATATAGAAATATAACAAAAATTAAACTTTTTGATGAATTAATTACTACAACCAAGTATCCAAATACCTAAATGTACATAGATAATAGAAATTTTATATTTATTATGGCTATATTAACTTGGGTGTAGTCTATAAATTGCAATGCAAGTAAAAATTTCCTTCGTAATGCAATCTCTTGTATAAACATTCGTATTATCACGAACTTACACCAGAAAGAATTGCTTGAATTTGTGATACAGTTTTGCCTTTTGTTTCTGGTACCAAAAAGAATACAAAGAAGACACACACAATCATGATAGAGGAAAAGAACCAGAAGCAACTGTATATACCAATTGCATCTCTCATCAACGGAAAGCATAAAGTTACGATGAATACCAAAAACCAGTTTACTACAACCGATATACCAGTTGCGGCACTTCTATATTCTACTGTAAATAACTCCCCCATCATCATCCAGGGTATAGGTCCAAATCCCAAAGAGAAGGATGTTATGAAGAGAATCAAGCAAACCAATGGCAGCCAACCGAATGATGAGACATTGTGGCCGCTCTCTTGAAGCTTGAAATATACTCCCAGGATAATAAGAGTGATTCCCATAATAGTACCACTTTGAAGCAACAGTACTCTTCTACCAGCCTTTTCAATAAGTAAGGAGGAAATATAAGTGGCTACTGTTTGGACAACACCAACAATGATAGTGGCAATGACAGGCTGAATGTCTGAACCGGCAGATTGGAAAATATTATTGGTGTAAAAGATGACGGCATTGATACCACTAAACTGCTGGAAGAACATCAGGCCGAGGGAACAAATGAAGGCCATACGAGTGTTTCGATGTGAAAATATACTGAGAATGCCAGCGCGTTGTCGTGAAGCGTCATCGACCTGTAATAATATGATAAATTATGTAAATTGTTGATCGGATCCTGATGGTAGTTTATTGTATTATGTTATATATATATAATATATTTTAAAAAATATCATAATAATAGATAGTCATTGATTTAAGATATATTCAGTTTTTTAAATTCGAAATTATCTGTATATGAAGGGCCAAAGGGTGTAGTAAATACTAAAATTTGATAGTGAGTTCATCGTTTTAGTCTAATAATATTCTCGTAGAATAATTTATGAACGTAATACATATAGTTAGTAATTATATAATTTACACGCCTTGGAACAGAGGGCCTACCTGATAGAAAACGTACGTTTTTTATAATAGTGCATGTTTTAGTTTATACTTGCCTCCTTCTGCATATCTTCTAGTTCATCACTAAGATCAGCATCCGGCCCTCGCAACCAGCGAAGTGCTTTTTCCGCATCACGTCGTCGATTTTTACTAAGAAGATATTGAGGTGTTTCTGGCATCCACCTGAAATAATAAAATTACATTTCAATTCTAAATTTGAACTGGTTACTGGTTTTCAATTTTATTAAGAGCAATTTATATAAAAATTGTTTGTTTATATGCGTTTATCTGTTAAACAGGCTATTAAAGCACGTTCATCTTTCAAATTATTTGCAATGTATTTAAAATTTAAATGAGAATGTTAAAAATTAAAACTTTCTTCTACTTTTAAAATTTATATTTGGAATGAAATTGAAAAGTTTATCATCTTAAACGTATACGAATATTAAAATGTACTAACCAGAAAACAATTACTAATAGCGGAGGCAGGGCAGCAGAGATAATGGAGAGGGTGCGCCAGTGAGTCCAGCCGCCCACCACAAAGGTGAACAGGATCCCAACTGTCAGGAATAGCTGGAAGAAGGCTCCCAGAGACCCTCTTATGGAAGTTTCAGCTATTTCGCCTATGTACATCGGAGCCGCTACACAGATACCACCTAGAGGTAGTTTGGTTTTCAGAAAACAGAATATGAAAGTTCGTTATGCCATTGTATATTTTTATGTATGACTTTTTACAGATGGTTTAGGTATGATATAACATTTTTTTTCACGTCTACTATCATTATCATCATCGTCATCATTTCAGTCATTATCTGTCCACACTTCCCCATAGACTGTCATAAAGAACGGTCCTGAGCCACCTGTATACATTGATTCCCTGCAATGCATTTGAGGTCGTCACTCTATCTAGTGGGGGTCGTATTACACTGTGTTTGCCCGTACGAGATTGCCACTCAAGAACTACTACTCACGTAACTTCTATCTACGTCTATAAAATTAATAAAAAAAGGCAATAGATACGGATAGGTAAGATATGGTTGTAATATTTTCATCTTGCGGCATGATATATAAATATAAATCGAATGGATTGATGATTCAAGATTCGAAAAATGTACTAAAAAGCCATATATTATGTATCACGTTATCATACCAGTTCCAAGTCCCGCGAAGAATCTACCAATAATAAGCAGTGTGGCACCTCGAGCAAATATGATTAAAAGCCAGCTAAGTAGAAATGGAATTGACAATATGAGTATTGTCGGACGTCGACCCGCCTTCTGAGCCAGCAAGCCGACTGGCAAGGCGCTTATCAGGGCACCAATGGCCGATATTGAAGACACGAGGGAACCTGCAACAACATTATGATCTTGTAAACTAAACGGCAAATAATATATTAATCCATAAAGACCTCTGATGCTGGGTGACTAGTGTATTGTGTTTTCTGTTCCTAGTACGTAGCCTTTTACGACATTCTGGGTATAAAAAAAGAGCAACGATACAGTGTATTTTTACTTCATTACCACATGGATATGGAAACGGATGGAATCTGTATTATTTGGTATGGATATCTTCCAAAAAGTGGAGGATATAGCTTTCTACCTCGCTGGCTTTGCAGCTCGGTACCTTCACCTATTATAATAAACACAGATTGCATTATTGTCAGACATTTATATAGAAGTCACTTTAATCAAATTCAAATCATCTTTCTTCTAAGAGACTTGTAAGCTTTTTAACCGATTTTAAAGAGCACGGGGTTTTTAATTCGTCTTTTTTTATAATTTTACTACTATATAAAGGAGGAGAATTGTTAGAAGGATCTAACAATTCTCCGGAGGGTTAACACATGAAAGATGTAAGATATAAATTAATTTTAGTACTCTTGGCCTTTTGGTAAGTTTGGTTATCATTTTAATGCAGAACACTTGTACTAATTAACTGAATATTTTTATCAGTCAGTCATCGAAATACTAGGGGGCATGCACCGACGTAATCTGGCAGGTGTCCAAACGACGTTACAGACATGCGTTCAGAGTAGGTGTGTCCAAGATACGTTCAGGTCAGGATAGATTTGTAAATAGCGTGTAAATATCTACCCACTATAGTTTACGTAATGAGACGGACACGACAAAATAATGTAGGTAACTACCACAACATACATAATATATAATAAACTTTAGCGGAAAAGTTTTAAGATAAGACTCATGTTGTATAGCGGAAGTTGTTCCGTTTCATGAATACTATGTATCCAATAAATACAAATATAATTAATAATTATTTTGGAACTTTTATTAGTAAGTGGACCTTATGAACATGCTATTATTTTTTCTTATTACGAGAATAGTTCAAAAATTATTTTTATATTAGCTGTATCCAATCGCTTTAACTGTGTGAACTAAGATAAAAATATCCGATGCGTTACTCAAGAATATATCTAAACCACATAGATATCGTTCAAATATGTAACAATCGTCTATATGTCCAAACATCTTTCACGTTTGTAATATTAGTTGGTTTTTAACTCTTGTTCCTTAGGGAAAATCCAGCTCGCCATATAAGTTCATATTATGAATAAAGTTTCAACTACTTACTTTCTTTAGTGTTCAACAGGAATTCAGCTTCCTGCCCTACAGAGTTGATTAATGTGGTGTTAACAATGGTGACATTCGTTCTATTCTGTACTTTTACTGGCTCCAGCTGTGGCAGAGCAGGGGATGTCCAGCCGAGAATAGTTCCGGCTATCACGGCGCCAATTGCCGCTGAAAATAAAAACAAACAGAATTTACTACAAGTTTGTGTGCATCTCTGTTTTCCCTACAATGGATCTGTCTGACTTAAAAATAGATTAAAAGTAAATCCGATAGGGAAAGTCATCCGTTGCCTAATTATAGACATGAACAACATCATCACAGAATATATTGTTTTGCTTCTTGTATGCACTAAGTTTATTTTTAGTATTGATATACAACTACTCGTATACATATACATGTCATCATCATCATCATGCCAGCGGTTAACTGTCCACCGCTGTACATAGGCCTCCTTCTACTGGGGGGCTTAAATGCAGTTAGTTTTTGGTGATTTTAAAAGGGACGCTGCTGCCCATCCCCCGACTATTAAATTCCCTTAGTCGCCTTTCACGACACCCACGGGAAAGGAAGGGGTGCCCCATTCTATGCCGGGACAATTAATATTTTAGGTTCGCATGACTTTCGTGGTATAATTGCATTAGATACGTTTATGATATCCCGGATCGATTCCAGTTTAGGTCCAATTTAGAAAGGGAATTTCTATTCAATAGGTTATACATTTATTGGATAGAATATCGATCTGTATTGATCTCCCGCATCGGCTATTATTTATTTATAGGCAGTCTGATAGACGCGATGCCAGAACATGTAGTAATAAATGGGGTTGTTAACATTATGAGTTATTTTAGGATACTATAAAAAAATCTATTACAAATATACTTAAAATCTTAAACTGCAAAGGTGAACATTATTAGTTAATACTATTTTTCAGTCTTTGTTTTACCTGCAATAGCTGCGATGTACTGGTTTGTCTTCCTGGTTTGTCCGCCCTTCTCCTGAACGGAGAGCATATGCATCGTTGGTTTCTCCATATCTTATAATTCTTGATCTCCTAGTGCTTGGTATTCACGACATCCTACAATAAATGTAACATTAATTACTTAATTGTTATAATTTTTTTTATCCGATAATTCAGTCTAGTCTTTTTTAAAAACCCTTTCCCAATAACATGTTTTATAAGCTTATTCTCTGTTCTTTGGCTGATTCAAATTCAGCTTCCTCCTTTTATATCTTAGATTTTTTATAGAAAAAAGCGAAAACATCTGTAAAATTTCTGAACAAAACCGGAAATTTCAAAAGCAATATAAATGTAAATTACCTGTGTATTGATTTCGTGCTCTTAACTGTTCTGTTTTAACTGAGTAACTTAGTTATTGAAAGAAAATTACTGTTTATGGCGATAGATGAAATAAATAAAGGGATATGTCATTCAAGGGTCTCTGTCAAGGTATCTTTATTATTCAAGTTGTCCAATCACAGCAAAAGTTTTATACGCGTCATTGTATAGGGACCAATCATATACAACTATTACTCATATTATCTATATTTCCCCCGCAAAAGGGCATTAAGTTTTGTTTGATAAGTTTACTACAAGTGGGTTCATAGGCCAGTCGAGCGTTCTCGTTTGGCAATGATAACGAGCTAGCAGCCCATGTAATGGAAAGTGGTAATTTTAGGGTTTAAAGAGCTTTATGCTAACCCAATCTATACTGGAAATTAAGTATATCCTTAAAAAATGATATCTAAAGTTTTAAAGCTATTTAGCTTGCAAAAATAGAAGGTTTATGTTAGAACCCATTAAATGGAGAAATTGATTGTTGCAGATAAATAATTAATTTAGCTAGTCCTTAAGAAATGAGAAAGTAGACAAAGCCCGATAGCTACAGTCCAAACCAATAGCAAAACAATCAGACTCGTGTCGATTTAGAAAAGTTTATTACCTTAATTGGGCTGATCGAGAATCGAACCTGAAAACTCATTTACGTAAAGTAACGTGCCAACCGCGAAGTTACGGAGGTCGTTAGATAATTAAACCTAACTTATTTGCTTATTTTTAAACCATAAATCTTTACATTATATACAAATCAATTTTTTTCAGTTCATAATTGTCTTGATGTGACGAAGGTACTACTGTATGGGTAGGTAACGGTAGATTTGCTAATTAGTGCTAAACCGCGTCAAACAAATACTTGGCAGTAAATATGTATGATAAAGAATTAGTACAGTGTCACAATGTCACCACTAATTTTAGTATACTAATAACAATAATAGTAAATAGTACTATTATAAATTCTGTGATTGATAGTAGGCTTACGAGAAGACTTATGCGTAGCAATAGAACGATAATGGTAATTATAAAGATGAACTATTCATATTGTGTAATGATGTATGTACATATTATCTGTAATGTTAGTGAAGTAATAGATAAAACAAAAACATTCTTTTTTTCTCTATGGTAAAGTCGAAATTAGATATAAAAATTAACATACATTTAAAGAGATGCACATTCACAGTAGCACCATTTTAAAAATGGTTTTATATGATTTTTAATAGTAGCCATAGGTAATAAATATAACGAACCCTGTATTTGTCATGTAGAAATACTTTTTCTATGATATCATTAATAACAAAGTTTAGGTTATTTTATTTAAATAATTATTGTGAAAATCATTATTTATCGTTAATTTAAATATAATTATATAATTAACAGATGGTTAATTAATTTAGTAATGTAATCCTTACATTATTTTGAAATTTATTGCGCTTGATGAAACTACTATTACTTATGTAAAAGTAAATAATAATTATTAATCTGATTTGTACTGGTAATAGAATTAAATTTCTTAGAATATGCCGGAAATCATTGTAGGGGAAGATTTTAGCAATATAATTATTGATATGATAAATTAATTAATTAGAAACCGTTTTTTAGGAATTCATATATAAAAATCAAGTAGACCCTCATCTAATTCGTAATAATGTTGACTCGCTATTGATTACATATTATTTATTACATTAACTCGTTTTTTTCTACGGAAATAGTTTTTAACCTGCATTACTATCCAGTAATGATCGGTTACGATGGGAAAGAAAGGTTATTGTAAGATGACCTCTTATGGAGTGATAACCTCAAATGCATTGCATAGAGTCAGTGAATGTAGGTGGCTCAGGACCGTTCCTTATGGCAATCTATGGGGGAGTCCTAGGTCCAGCAGTGGACAGTTAATGGCTGAGACTATGATGATGATTGAATACTGGATAAAAAGTAACCTATGTTTTATTGATATATGTACTAGATTAATCTGTAAGAGATTGCTCTAGCGATGAAACAGCTTTTTGTACCTTTATGTATACGTTTTAATCAGTATCTTATGTTATTGTATTTCACTTAAATTATTCAATTTTCATTGTATATTTTTATGTTTCTGGTGCAATAAAGAATTAAATTAATAAATAAACTAGTCAAGCTTTCTCGATCTAATTACACATAAATAAAACCGATAGTTATTATATTAAAATACAGTTACCGTTATGAATACTTTTATTTATTACTACTCAATCGCAAATGGTGTTGCTTATCAGACGACAATAGATATAGTTCATTTAGCAATCGTTTCGTAATACCATTATTTTTGCCAATTAGCAATCGATAACAAAGTAATAGAGCTCTATAGGCTGTTTGTTAATTTGTCATCCAAGACTATATTTAGTACGTAGTACTTTATGCTGTGTATGATTTAGACTATATAGTTTTATTTGCTACAAAAATAATATTTACTAATACCTATCAATTTGTCAAATCTGTTCCCCTCTTATCAATTTACGAAGCACTGTAAATAGATCCTCTCCAAATGTTATTATCTGCTGGAAACGAGCGGCGATAGCGGTTTCGATAAACGCCATGATATAATTTTGTTTTTGAGATCTTTAAAATAACCGCTTACTGTATTTATAGAATGTTGACATTTTATATTGCATAAGAATCGTATAGAAATAAGAAAATGGCCCACATGATAGAATGTCGCTTAATAACATGGTTATGACTGAAATCTGAATATACTGTAGAGTGTGTTCTCTTGTATTGTTGTACTTACGCATACTTAAGTATTATTAATTTATATTTATTTATTTGCTTTTATTTATTTATTTATATTACATAATAATATGGTATAAACAAACCCTATTGATTACTGTTGAATACTATTACTCCGTTAATGACTTTTGACTTTTAATGTAAAATGGTACTCATAAAATAAACATACATATTAATATAATATTTATATATTAATACCTACATATAAAAATATACACACACACATACATTTATGTGTAATATGTATGATGAAGTACTGCTTACTTGATTAATTGTTTTAATTTAGAGAATCATGTTCAATTAATTATAAATACTCTTAAAATAATAGTTAGTGTAAGGACTAATCATATTATGTATTGACGATAGGAAATTTTTGTATGACTATAGGAATTTAGGTAGTGTACATTACTAAGTAACATGATTTGATTTTTAAGAACAGATAAATGTAGATAAAAAATGAGTAGTTTATATTATCTGTGATATCCATAAAACAATTACAATCACAGTGTTTGCTTATCAGTATTGTTGAGTACCTAGATTACCTAAGTAAGACAAATCCAGTTAATACCATTCAATAAAAATCTTCTACTTCTAACCGGCTACTGGAAAATCTATAAGTATTGTAGTAAAATTATTTCCAATTATTACAAAATTATTGGTATAGATTAATATAGTAATCTCATTATTCTTATTTTAAAATGAATAAGAAAATAAAATTCCCTTTGATAAATTTTAATTTACTAAAGACTTTGTACAAAAGTCGTTTGCTTGGATACCTCTTTCCCATTCGTGTTTCTAACGTGAAACAGTTGTGTTTGTATGGCTATATTTCGGTTTTAAGGGCAGGATGTGGCAATGAATTTACAGGGTACAGGGGCAGAATACCTCCTAAGGTGGCATCGTTTGGTAATTATTATGAAAGAAACAGTATACTGTGTCCATGATACTGCTCATGTCTATAGGCGACGGTTATCAGTTTCCATCAGGTGGACCGTCAGCTTGTTTGTCAATCTTACATAAAAAAATATGATACATACCATACCTACAAACTGTCGGTGAAATGTTCACAGACGTATTAGATTAAAAATGTGTGAATTTAGATTGCAAAATCTTGTGTCTATCAATACAGATTTTGCTTCAAAATAAGCAGGATCATCGCACCGCAAAAAAAAACTAACTTCAAAATTAATATGAGAGCAACACGGAAGAAAACCATATCGCTTGCTGTAAGAATTCATAAAATCACTTTAGAATTGGCGAAAATATCGCGTAACAAACATACTTACAAAAAAAGAATTCGTTGTCTGAAATGAGCAATGAATATTTTTTATTGTTTTTTTTTTTTGATTCGGCATAATCGTAATAAATAGTTATTAGTACGTATTATTTAGAATTATGAATACAGTAAATGCAATATACACACAAGTACTTATTTAAAAATAAAATGTTGGTCAAGTGCAAGTGGAGTCCCGTACCGTCGGTCGAATGCATCTTATCAATTATTTATTATTATCTCAATTGACATTAATCTTATGAAAGTAGTTACCAGCAATTGAAGATGAAATATTATAATTATACCTAAATATCAGCAGGTTATCGACAAGTGAGCGATCAACAGTTTGTGGTATCAATTTTATAACCATGTTTTTGTCTGTTCTCTTATATACTTAAGTACATTTTAGTACATTACCTATTCGATAGCCTTTTAGATGGATGCCGTAACTGGATAAATAATATGAACTATACATCAAGGAGTTATGAGCGGTAGGTAATATAGGAATTACTTTATTGTACTCCCAACACGGTAAAAATAGATAAATGCTTTATTAATGAAAAAAATATTTAAATTAAAATAAAAAATAGATAAATAATATAATAACAATCAGTACAAATTAATTTGATGCTAAATGTAATTAAAATTACATATCCTAGAAATAAGTAATTCTGAATACATACTCGTACATAAAATAGATTTTTAAGTA